TTGTATAAGATGTGACAGAGATGTAAAATCCAAGTTTTTTACCTCGGCGCTCTCCTCCTCTCCTCTCCTCAAGATCACTTTTGAGTATCCCAAAAACTGTTATATTTTTGCACTTTTTTCGGTAGTTTCCCTTTTTTAACAAAAAAAGGTCGACATAAAACATGTATTTTTAAATTAGATTAAATATGCTACAATTTAAATGTAGAACAGGATCGATTAATTTAATATTTTTTGAGATACAGGTTTTCAAAGTTTGGGAAATTTTACTTACTTTGGAAAGTTCAATATTATAAGCTATTCATGTTTGAACATATACAAATGCCTTTGTATCATCAATTGCCTGTTTGATATGAGTTACTGAAGTAAATATCTATTCATTTTAACACTTTGAAGGAGTAGTGAGGGAATGGTTGGGTGGGAGAAGGGATGGATCACTGTCCACAACCATACGACTGAAATTGAAATACAAAATTTACAGAACAAACATTTGCATCAGTTATACACTTGAGGAAATGAAGTGAATGCAATTTTTGAAACTTGAAAGTGTTAATACAATTGCCATGTTTATATCTTCAATATTCTTTCTTATATGAATTAGTGAAGTAAATATACATTAAATACTGAGAGGTAAAAATCGAATGTTGGTTTATTTGAATCTATTATAACCGAATTGATAAAATAGCTAGGATGACCTGAGTCATTTACTGAGTACGATATACCAGGTGGACTGAAATTGTAGCATATTTAATTTTATTTAAAAATGTATAGAATGTTTATTGTCGTAAACTTGCTTCTTCATAGTCGAAATGGGAGAAAACCGAAAAAGTGTGAAAATGTGGCAGTTTTTAGGATATTCAAAAGTCATCCGTGAAAGGCACCGAAGTCGAAAAACTTGGATTTTGCATCTGTCACACCTCAAAAGAAGAAAAAAAAAAGACCAACCTTGTACTCCCATTTGATGCAACTTATAGAAATAGAAATAGAAAATAATTTTATTCTGGGACGAAGTCCCTTCAGAATAACAAAAAAGTACAGAAATTAAAATTTTACATCTGGCCAGATAAAAACAAACATAAAAAGTAAAGATAAAGATAAATCAGTAAAAAAAACAAAAAAAAAAAATATTAGTTATACATAATATATACAAAATAAAATAAAATAATCTATATACAAAACTCTCAAAACCATACTAAGATACTTAAAACTATGTACAATGGTAAAATATAAATAAACCCTTTTAGAAAAAATACAAAAAAAAAAAATAAATGTAAATTCTTCTTAACATTAAAATCTGTTTTTCTGTTGAAAAAAAATAAAAAATAAAAAAAATAAAAAATATGTAATTTTACATAAAAGGTTAGCTGGTATCTGACTGTTTTTGGAACAGGAATTGGAATAGGAGGGTTTTGAATGTAGATAGGGATAAAGAATGTCGGATTTTGAGAGGAAGGGAATTCCAAAAAGTAACAGAGCGAGCAATAAAGCAATATACACCCCTATTCAATGGTTAGTGAGCTACAGTGGACTAGGAATGGAATATCGAAGGTCCAACATCGTTATCAATATCGGCTTATAACTATGGATACCACCAAAATATCAGACTTGAAAAATCGTTAGTCGATATTTTCATCGATTATTATAAACTTTTTTGAAATATGAAAATCAATACAAATATTGATTCTCTAGCAAAGGGGTCTCCAAACTTTTTGACCCACGGGCAACATTGAGACCTCAACTCCAAGTCCCGCAGGCCACGGCTAATGAGGAAAAAAATAGTTTGTTTTATAAATGTCACTTCACCTGTGAAATGAGCAGTGTTGCCGAAAATCGGTCTTGGTTCTGCAAAGTCCTAAGGAAGATTCCTTCTTTGTATGATCTCTCTTCTATTTTATTCTAAATTTACATTTACACTCTACACCAATGTATGATCATCCTTTTTCCCACTTTGTATTAATTTTACTTATTAACCATGTCTCATTATCTAATATTCAAATGTAATTTTTTTACATATGTACAACCAAATATAATTACAAGTATTATTTTTTTCCCCTCTCTATACTTTTAAGTTAGCTCTGCAATGTATGTATGTTAATGAAGTTATTTCTATATTTATATTTTACTTTTGCCAATTTTGGGTTTATTCACATTATACTCTGATCTAGAATCATGAAATACCTCTCACATCTCTTAACTCTATTTTATATGTATATTTATAATTTAATATTTCATAGATATAGTATTTCTCCATTGTATCCATCCATATCTTCAAAAATTCCTAGATACTGTAAATTCCTGGGTTTTTCAAAGTTTACTTAGCTAACACATGTTAACTTCCCCTATACCTGCAATCCTTACCGCTGCCTTTCCAGTTCTAAGTGAAACTCCTAGATGAACACACCTGTAAGTCTCTAATTTTATTTTTCTCCAGTAGATTTCGTAGAATTATACTCACATTTTCATTTATTATATATTACACTACAACAATTGTTAGCATCTATTTACTTTAGTTTAGGATCTTGTTACTCAGCTTACTTAGTCCATATTTTATAGTACTTACTGTTTATAATTTCAATAAGCTTATTCACATTGTTTATAAATTATGTCTAAATATTATGTAATTGCCACAATTCTCTATCTTTTTGTATCTTGTCCGTTCTAGCCCTGATGAAGACCTGCAAAGTCGGGTCGAAACGTTGGCTTTCAATAAAATAGTTTTACCAATATTTAGCCTATTTATGACCGCAACCCCGGACCATCTCCTCCCTTCATAATGCAACTGTCAACTATTAAATATTCAATATAATTTTATTATATTATATTTTATTATTATGTTAGTATTTTTGTTTCTTATTTTTCATCTGCTCCTGGCATCAAGGAAATAAAATTTATAGGTTCGTTTAGCAATAATGTAACTGTTGGTTAAGTTAAGTGACATCCATATTTTGTGAAATGTTTATAGATATCATTATTTTTATAGAAAATAATGTTATTTTACAACTTATCTGGATAAACCGATAAGCAAGTCATAAAATTGATATTTACATAAAGAATTTTAATTGTAATTATAATGATGATATATTTAACAATAAATAGTTATTTTATTTTTTTAAATTTATTTATTCCACCCTCCCATTCCACTATGGCAATACGGGTGTTTGCGGTAGTGTGTTATTAGGTATGGATGCATAATAACGCACTACTACTAGTTAACATGATGTGCAGTTCTTCTGTTCTTACTTCTTCTTGTTTCTGCCTAGCTTCCAGAATCTGAAGGTCTTCCAGGCTCTTGTCCTCTTCTTATGCGGGCACCAATACGGAAGTGAGCGGGCCCCACCGCCGTCTTCCATCCATATATGAAATCCTTAAACCGCGGGAAATTTTCCTCGCTGACTCACTGAGGAAACTCATTTTCAGTGAGGACATAGATTCCCGCGGCTCTTGTCATTGTCGCTCTTAACGTTTCTAATGCGGTGCAGGTCCTGACCACGTGCTCTACAGTTTCCGGAACACTACAGATTTTGCATAGAGGATCTACATCAGTGCCCAGACCGTGAAGTTTAGCCCGAAATCCTCCATGTCCATTGAGGAACTATAAATAAATAGTTTTGTTGGTTGTGCTGATTACAGCGGATCACTAGCGGGTCCAGGATTTAATTTTGGGGGAGGCTTCAGCCCGAAAGCCCCTCCCCCCGTAGATCCGCCTGTGCAGCGGATGGTGTGCAATCAATAGATTCATCGGTTGGTTTTTTTGAATAGAAACTCATTTATATATTTATTTTTTGTTTTCCTATTTACAATCAGTGCTAGAGTTCCTAACTATTGTTTCAAGCATTACTGGCGTTATCCAATACAATTATCACAATTTTATCTTTGGCACTAGCGGATGCAGGATTTAATTTTCGGGGGGCTTCAGACGGAAAGCTTTTTTTTTCATAAAAGTAACGATAACTACTTTGGAAAAACAGAAAGAAACTAACTACCTATATTAAATGGTGTTTAAGTGATTCCTCAAGTCCTTTTAAATGTAATTACACGAACACTAATACTTTAAATATTAGGTATTTTTAAATTTTTTTTCTCCATAAAACATGGTTACATTTTACCATTTTGAGGGGGGCTTCAGCCCGAAAGCCCTCCTTCCCCCCGTAGATCCGCCCGTGACCTCTGGTATTCCATAGATTTATGGTTTGTTTTAATATAATTTTTAAACAATAGTGCTATTTTCAACTACTGGGTGTTCCGTAAGTAAAAGTAAATATTTTAGTGGTAGTAATTTACTTCACGAGTTACAAAACCACTTCATATCATCACTTGTCAAATTCTTCCATGAAAAGTTGAAAATTCAAATTTTGTGTTTTTTAGAAAGTCCAGAAAGTTATATAAAATTCACGCAGTAAAGTAAGTTCCATTTTTTGTCGAATAAGAAGCTATAACTAAAAAATCTTTAATTTAAGTAAACAAGACAAAATTCCTCCTCATGATTTCAGCAATGACATACTCTACTTTCGTATAAAGTAAATTTTGTTTTGTTTATTGTGAAGCAATTTTAATTACTTAAATAAAATAGTTTTTAGTTATTGCTAGTATTGAACAAAAAATGAGACTGCTTTTACAAATTAAAGTTTACGTAACGCACAAGACTAACTAAAAACACAAATATTGATTTTTCAACTTTTCGGCGGATAGTTGGACCATTGTTTATATAATTTTTTTCGTAACTCTTGAGGTATACTGTCATCCTTTAAATATTTAGTTAAAATTATTTTTTTTTTTGTTCGAGTTTTTAAGAATTTAAGAATATACCTCAGTTTTTTTTTTGTTTTTTTTTTTGCACTCGTACCCTAAATGGTATAATTATGCTATTGCATAAGACAGAGGAATAAGCAAAAAGTAACTGGAACGGTTAAGAGAACCTAGTACGTTTATGAAACTGAAGCGGTAGGAGGAACTAATACGGTATTCTACCGTTCGGAAACATCCCTAGCCGGAATCCGATGACAGCCGAGCTCCCCCGAGCCACCTACAGCCAGCTGAACAGGTGTCAGTCGGTGCTGTCATGTCGTATCGCCCGCTACTCCTCTTCTTCCTAGCAGTCCCCGTCTTGGCCGAGGATGCCAATCCCTTCCTCGAGGCGGCCAAGACCCTCATCCAGGACTCCTTGGCCAAGAGCGACGGGGGTCTTGGCTCCATCGTCCAGGGGCTGGTCACCTCCGGAGCTGGCAAGCACATCGGAGACCTTATATCAGGCAGTCGTGGCATCGGGGACATAATCTCCGATCCTCAGGTAACTTAAGGATAATCCTAACTAACAAGTACCATTAAGTTCCATACCGTTCCACGAGATCTCAAAATGAAGAACTTACTGTATTACATTTTTACAATCACCACATATTTCGGCATCTAATATTTAATTATGTTCATTAAAATATCAACCGCTGGAGATCGGTATCATACCATAATAAGTCAGAAATATCCAAATCAAATGAGACGATTTTGTTCTTCTTCTGGGTTGTTCATCCTTGTTGGATGTGCCACTTTCTCAAACCTTACAAGAAAACCGGAAACACTCAAACAGTACACGAAATTCCTATTTGAATGAATTTGAGACACCTTTATTTATAGAAATATGCTGGATTTTTTGTTATTATTTAGTGATAAAATTGATAGAGTTGAATCATGTGCTCCGTTTTGAGATCACTCAAGTCTCGTAAATTTAACAAAATGACCATTTTTCCTAACACTTTAAAAATTTAAAAAAAAAAACCTTCCCCTATTTCGTCGAAAAAAGATTTAAAATTCACAATAACATCTATTGACAGTTTTACATCCTGGCAGGCAAAGAATGATTGAGTTTGTTATCATATGATTTTATCAGTTGTTAATTCTTCTATCTAACCTCTTTTTGCCGTGCACATATTTTAATGTTTTTGTTTTAACTATAATGATACATTTTCAAGACGCAAATAATCAGTAAATTTGATGCTAAATTTCTTGTCACTGGCATGATAGGAAATGAGAAATTTTAATCAAATAGTCATCAATTGATTCAGATCTTTTTAAATATTTATGATATAATTATATCCAAAATCTGATTCGATGAGATGATTCTCAGTATGCAATGGCAACCAGATATTGTTTCTTGCAAGTGAGAATTATCACTACCATATTTACCACCTTGATAGTCTAGATTTTTAATCAAATATACTTCGGAAATGGAAAGTCATTTAAAGATCTATTTTAAGCCAGAATGAGTTTAATTTAACCATCATATTCTGTGACTATTGCCCAAAATTGTATCTATATTGAGAAATCGTTTAGAACGGAGTAATAACTCTGATAAGAATAGGTGCATATATCGGAATACCATTATTTGCGAAGTGTTATCGCTTTCTTTATCCCATCAGAATAATTCAATAGGGCTTACTTTGCCTAGTTAAAATGTGACAATTAAATAATCTTTATGCAATCGAAAAATAAATTAATCTCTTCATTAATTGACTAATCCGAATTAACAAAAAAAAGTTAGCCTTCTTATATTTATTGGAACCATTGTTATCTGATAAAGAAAACATCGTAGTATCTGTAGGAAATGAATTTATGGTTAACTAAATTATAAGTTATGACAGACAATTATTTATAACATTTACAAAATTATTATGTTCCTTTAAAAAAAAAAAAAATTTATGACCTCATTATTTAATAAATTCTTTGTGATTCATGAAGTAAATTAATTTAGGGTTCATCGAGACAAATATATCGAACAATTTATATGTCAGTTTTTATCCTAAGCAGATATGTGGAAATCATCCACTTTACAGACAATAAGTTTTCAAGAGTTGAATTAATACTGTGCTATTCAAAATTGAAGAATCATTTCGTAACTTTGATTTTATGCATAAATTATTGAATTTATTTACTTTACTTTATTAAAACGAACTTTTCAAATAAATAAAAATATCTACTTTAATTAACATTAATAAGAATAAATTATAAAATAATATATACCGTGTTTCTATTTCTCAATGAGCTATATTATAATATACCTTCAAGATATAATTTTTCCCTTAGTATAATCAACCCACTATGCTTAAAAAATTAATAAAAAAAAAAATATTATCTATACAATTTTCGTTTTTAATAGTTCTTAAAATGAAAAATTCCATTTTTATACCATACGAGAAAGTGTTCTACTAATACCAGAATGGTAGGTCATGACATAAATTCTGATGCAACAAGGGAAGTGGGTTCCTGACCCTTAAAGACTTGTCAATGTCAAAAGATGTATTTAACCGTAGGGAGAATTATTTTTAATTTATTTATTATTATCATGTTGTTTTTTTAATAAAATGAAATTACTATTCTTTTCTAGTTTTTCTAGTCCATGAAACAAGGCAAAGGAAATCCACTGATTTTGCCAGTATAATAATTGTTTCTTTCTACGGAAATTTAAATAGGTAGTAAATATATGGTTTTACCTTTTACGAATTATATATTAGTGCAAAAAGTCGTATGCAGCAATTTCGCATGTTTATTTTCTTTGCGCTAAAGGCGAAACTTTTTGTAATCTACAACTGCTTCGAGTAGTCTGCTGAATAGGAAAATAGCAGAGGGAAATAAAATATTTCATAAAATGACATCTTTCTTCCAGCCCTGATGAAGGACTGAACTTCGGGCCGAAACGTCGGCGAATGTAAAAATAAATAAAATTATTTATTTTTTACCATTTTAATTTGACTGATCGCCCCAACAATCCTTCTCTTCAATGAAATTACATCAATAAATCATAAAGAAATAATCGGTCTAACATTAGCTATATGTCAGTTTTTGTGGCTAACCTTTCTTTCAATGGAAAATATATATATATATATTGGAAAGTACCATTAGGTAGAAATACTATATTTTTTAAATAAAACGTATATATAAATCATATATATATCTAGTATTTCTATCTAATAGTATATATGTACGCACTTCTGATAGTTAAACTCCCATGCTCCCTTCGATGTTAATATTTTTTAAATCCTCATAAGCTTCGGGTAAGCTACACATTAGGTCATCATGATAATTTATTTTGTTTATTTAAGAAAGAAAAAAAAACTTGACCTTGCTCTGAGGGAGTTACAGGTGGATCTCCAGTGGACAGGTTTTGCCAGTTCATTCACCCGTGTGTTATTTTACTTCACTATTATTCTTAAATTACTTTGTTTCCCTCTGAAATCGACCTGTTTGGCATTTTATCTTGCATAAATCTTTATTGGATTCCTTCTTTATCTTCAATTCTAGCCGTTATGAACTTCAAGGTAACGGTCTTTTTTAGCAAAATGTTATAGCATGTTAAACAATAAAAAAAAAATCTTTATATATAAATTTATGAATGAGTTAAAAAATTTATTAATGTGTTCATCGACAGCTAAATAGACCACCATCAAGCAAATGCGCAGAAGATAATTATTACATCAATTCTGCTGGATGCCTTATTGCGCAATTTAAATGGAATACAAATATAAATAAATAAAAATATTCATAAAAAAAAAAAATCAACTGCATTGATATTAAATTTTGTAACTCATACACTAATAGTAGAATTTTGCCCATGGTAATTGGAACTTTGATTTTAAAAGGGTGAAGGAGTTACCATTGCCCAACGTCGATGAGACATGCTTCCTTCCTAGAAATTATATCGCTCCTCTTCTTAAAAATAGAGAAAGCATAAGAGATTTTAAAACTTGTATATCATACACTTGCTGTGTAACCTTTTCCGCGTTCTTTCCACTGCCTCTGCCATGAAGGTTCCTCCAGTACTTAGTGGCTTCAAACATAAATGCTTATCATTGACACTTGATAAGAATATGTGTACGTGTTAACAGAACTCAGATTTGTTTCTTGATTTGACAAACGCACAAATACACGATGATTTTGCCCCAGCGTCTAAGAGTTGGATTATTAAGACAATGGTTAAACAAGTTTTTTCTGTTGTTTTTTTTTATTATCTACATCGTTGAGATAATTGGGGGAGTGGAGTGTCTCAGTGAGTTAGGTGCTGGGCCGCTAAGCTGTAGGTCTTCGATTCGAATCTTGCTAATGCTAAGTAATTCATCAATCGTGGCTCGATCCAGAGGTCGGAGGACCTTCTGGGGCACACACAACCTCTATAAAGTGGGTACTTTTGATTAAAATAATTAAGTAACGGGGAACCTGGGGGTTGAGCCTGATCACGGCCCGATCATTGAATCATTGGCATTGAATTAGTGCTTACTGCAATCCTTGATAGGTTGTAGTTGTATAGGTTTTTTTTAATTGAGAGAACTCCTTAGGATATATGGAGATGTCAATCATGGGAGTATTTTTTAACCGAAATAACTCAAAAAAGATTTTTTGTTTCAAGTTTTCTAGTTCTATTGAATTACATTTAAGTTAGTAACTGTACCACCGATAAATTTCTAATAACTAGCTAGTTTCACTTTTAGAACATGATGCTTTTAGACCGCACAACCATTTTATTCATTTATCGGATTAAACTATAGACGAAAAACGGTCATCCCCGAAAGAAATGTGATCCTGTCCTTTTATCATTCCATTCAGACGGGAAATAATCCTTACGGTACCCTTAAGATACCGAAGTACGTGATATAAAAGACAGTGGTACCTACTAACGGTAGCCAGTGTTCTACTGACCCAGCTCTGCCACCGTCTGCTACCGCATTCTGAAGACGAACATTTCGAAGGACGAAGCTATTCGATTTCTAATTAGTAAATAAACTTCTTAGTTTTACGACTCTCGAGTGGATCATTAGTTTTCCAAGTGGTGCTTTACCTTGCCTCTAGTCAATTTCTAGTATTTCTATTTATAACCGATATGTATAATATTTCTCATGTATTTCTAAGTCGATTGTGCATATCCCCTTTCCGAGAAATTTTATTGCTTTCCTCTTCTTAAAAATAATGAAAGTGAAAGTATAATTGCAAAAATGTTGATTACACCTGCTGGGTCCGTTCCATGTTTTCAAACTTGACCATTTCAAATTTAATGTGATTCTCTACAAAATTCATAATTATGTAAAAATATGTTACCCTCAAAAATTCGTAAGCCACAACTTGTTCTGTAACTTCTATTTTGGGTACCCCAGTGTGAGAAAAATCATTTCATGGATGATTCTTATTTTAAGGGCATGTTTTAGGTCATTACACCTTTTACGTGATTAGTTAAATAAAATATTTCCAACTGCTATACGTTGAAGAAATATTTCTTCATTACGAAATATTAAAGAATAGCGTGATTTTATA